TCATCCGGGAACACGTCCGACAGCAGGGACGGCTCGGCAGGCCGTCCGGCTGTCCTAAGGATTTGTTAGGGTGAGATCTTTTATCGGGCTGTCGACGTCCATCCTGGGACCAAGTCAGACAAGCTTTCGCCAGTGCAAGGCGGCCCTCCTCGGGGCAGACCTCCTGAGCTCTGCCCTGTGCCGGGGGAGGTCAGCCTCAACGACGACTGTCTTGTGTTCAACAGCTTGTCTGATTCTCCTCCACCTACACTGTTGGTTCGGTTAAGGATCTCGCTGTAACAAATCCTTGCCTGTCTCATAACTTCTGGACAGTCACAGCTACAGCATTGCTCTGACAGCACCAGAAATTGCAAGGGAGGGCGGGAGGGGGCTGATCAGACTGGGTAGGCTCTACACTGATATTCTTGCATTCAGCATTCATTTCCACTGAGACATACAGGGTCATGGGCCAGATGAATTTGGCTGCGACCAAGTATGGTGTTGCAGAAATTTGAGTCTCTTCTTTTTATTCCTTTTCCACCTTTTTTAAGGGTAGCAGTGCTATTTCCCATGGGCGACTAGTGCCGCCTTAGTTGGGGGGGGCACATGCCCCTCCCTGTGACCAGTTCCTCCACCCCCTCCCCCCGCAGCCGATCTCACTGCCTGGGCGAGTGTGGCTGGTCAGTGGGGGCACTGGCGCTCTCAAGGGGTGGACATGCACCCCCGTGCACCCTTTATGCATCGCCACTGCTAGGGCCTAAAGAAGCTACTCACGTTGGCTAGGCAAATATAGTGACAAATGTAGGGTAAAGAACTTGTACACTGTAGAGCTCAAGCCCACTGCATCTCCTATAAGAGAAGAAATCGAGATGACCAGGCCTTAGCTTTTGGGTAGCAAACTGCACTCCTTTCTCTACATCCAGTTGCATGGAATAGCTTGGGGCTGAAGTGAGAGTCTCTGCCTGCAGAGATATTTGGAAGTCTTAGCACCTTTCTAGAGAACTTTTCTGCTAAAAGGAAACTAGGCTGTGAAGTGGGTTCTGTGGCAGGGGTGAGCAAAATGCAGCCTGTGGGCTGGATGCACCCCACCAGGCCATTCTATCCGGCCCACAGGGCCCCTAAAAAATTTAGAAAATTAATATTTATCTGCCCCTGGCTGCCTGTCATGCGGCCCTCGATGGCTTGCCAAAACTCAGTAAGCGGCCCTCTGCCCAAAAATAATTGCCCGCCCTTGTTCTATGGTGTGAAAATTGTTGTACAGAGACAAAGTCCCTGTATACTCTGGGTGTTCTACCAAAAAAAGAAGGGGGAAAAATCTCTGATAATAGCGCCAATTCAATTTTACCAATTTTAGTAGTTTGGAGAGCCATAGTATAGGCAGGATACTGGTTCTGCATGGTGTTAATGCCAGCTATATATAATGTAGTTCTGAACATGACTGTAAGCATCTTTTCTCATCTTGCTAGCTTTTTAACTTAGTTAAATAATCTAGTCAGCTGTTTTATTTTGTTGGGGGAACTTTAAAGTGTTTTGGGAGGGGGTGCAACTTGTGAACTCTAACAAAAATGTCTGTGATTTTAAAATAGAGTTTTTGTGGTCAAATAATTATTTATTTAAAAAAAAAATCCCAATCTGATCATTAAAAGCCTGACTGAAAATCACTTTTCTCCTTGTTTACTTTTGTAGTTCTTGTAATGTCACCGTTTGATTAATTTTCCAGGTATCACAGTCTGCCAGCCAAAGATTTGAGTTCCTATTCAAGAGAAACAGGAAAAACCCTTAATCTTCCAGGCTTTCTTTTATTCACTGTTTAAAAAAAAAAAAAAAAAAAAGCAATTAAAAGCCCAATTCCAGTTTTTTTTCTTTTGCAGGTCACCCTTGAACCAAGTGCATGATTATGGGGATCAAGGAGTCTGAAAGCTGCTTGATTCACAGTATCATTGCTGACAAAGCAGAATATCAGCCAGATAACTGTTTGAATTTATACTGTACAGCTGTTTGCTCCGGGTCTTGAACAGGTCAGTTGTTGCTGGCAGTTTTCTGTGTGGGTCTTGTTTATTAGACATATGTGTCCTCACTTAGATGGGGTGAGGGACAGGCATTGCTTAGCAAGAACTTAAATGATTTTATATTTGGTGTGGGTAGCACTCATTCATGCCTCATTTCATCCCTATCTGAGCAGGCAGGTCCCTGTTCCAGTTTCCATGGATTGCTTGCTGCTGGTCACCTGCAACTTTCACCTTTCTGTGCAAAGTATCCCAAATAGCTTAAATTTGGTAACCTTCCAGGCATGCTGTAAAAGACATTTCTTAGATCAGAGTTGGGAGAAAGGGCAGTGAGTATGTTTCCCAGAATTTTGGAAGGGTGGAAATGAGTTTCTGTAGGTGTCTTTTTTGTCTGTTTGACTTTTTATAGGAAGTATTACTTTATTGCTGCTAGATTTTGGTGTAGTCTCTGTATGTTATGGAACTAATAGCCTTGGGTAGGGTTTTTTTTGTCTTTGTAAATCTAAATATATAAGCTTACATGTGATGTGTGTTGGGGAAATAAATGGAGTTTGTGCCCTTTTTGGCTGCTTTATAATATATAATTAAGGAAAAATGCCTGCATAAGGTATGTTGTTCCAACATTTTTTAAAGTAAAGAATCCTTTATTATGTTTTTCTTCAGAAATTATGTTCTATGGTCTTTGACTTGCACCTTTTGGATTCTCGCAAGCAAGCATAAGCTCTGATATACACATGCTTAAGTGTTTGTAACATTGAAGCATATGGATTTACTCATATTATTAATGTGATGACAGGTCATTTAACTACCATTATGTACGTGCTTTGATGGTTCAGCCCTTTGTAATATGCCAGGGAAAGAAAAACAATAGGCTTTAGAAATGGAGTTAGTTGAGGTTATGACTAGGTGTATAGTCACAAGGAAAATGTTTGTGTTCTGCTGTGCTGGGCTATCTTAAACTAAAATGTCCTGAATTTACCATTTGGAGAACTTAAATTTTAACACATGCTGCAGGTGGAAGTTGGCTGCTGTGTCTAAAAACCTGCAACAGATTATTTGGCATATTCCAAATAACAGTGTGTATCTTTTGTTTTTGTCCCCAAATCAAAACAAATGTAAGCCAGTATGGGTATATCTTAAGTAGTTGTAAGTAAAAAGAGAATATTTTGTTTATTAGATCAGATTATGGGATTGTTCAGAAAGAAGAGAAAAGTGTAGGATGAAGTGTTCTGTTTGTTTGGTTTTTTTACTATTTTTAGCATACTACAAAGTAGTACAGTTTCCCCAAAGAAATATTTGGGTAAAGTACTTACTCCTTATTGGTCATTCTTTTTAAACTTGATTCCTTAGTAAGTCCTAAAGATAAGACTTGTATTGGATTTTGTATTGCACGTATGTTGATTTTGCAGTATATCTTGCATATATCAGTATTTGCAAAAATGGAAGCAAACTTATTAATGTCCTGGTGCTAATTGATATATATGCACTCATACTTTCCAGGGTGCACTGTTTGCCATCTGTTCGTCAGAGTTGAAGTGAATAAACAAAAATACAAAGCTGACTAAACAAGGCAACTCTTAAACAAAAAAAGAAAAAAAAAACGTGCTTAAATGATGTCTAATTAAAATATAAAGACCAGATTAATCTTTTAAATTTTCTTTTACTTGGCTTTATTCTGAATCTAAAAGTGCTACTTGGCTTTGGTGATGTGAATTGATATTGTTTGTGTGCTGTGCGCACCCCTGGGGGAGGCATGGGGAGCATGTTTTCCCTCCCCCCACTCCTAGATTTATATGCAGGGCAGAGGCGGGCTGTCCACTGCAGGCTTTGGGCCCTGGGCTTGCCCAACCTCTTTCCAGTGTGGGGTCTGGGCTTGGAGTGGCCAGTAGCGGGGTGGGCTCAGCTGTGCAGAGCAGGCAGTGGCGCTAGGAGGGGTGGCTATGCTGGGGCTATGGGGAATTTTGGGTGGCTGTAGCCCCCTCAAGCCAACCCCTAGTGCTGCCCCTGCTCAAAGCACTCTGCTCTGCTGCCTTTCCCTCTGCAGTCCTGTTTTCGCTGTGTGCCCTGTGCCCGACCCACAGTGCATAGCTTCCGAGGGAAAGGCAGCAGAGCGGAGTGTCCCAAGCAGGTCTGGCACTGGGGTGCAGCTTGGGGGACTATAGACACCCCAAAATTCCCTGTAGCCACCCCTTCCAGCACAGCTGCCTGCTCCACACAGCTGAGCCCACTCCACTCCGAGCCCAGTCCTGGCCTAGCCCCCACATCAGGAACAGCCCCTGGCCTTGAGCCTGCAGTGGGCAGCCCACCTCCACCCCACGCACAAATCTGGTGGGGCACATGCTCCCCATGCCTCCCCCCTGGGGTGTACATAGCAGTCCCATTCACCACCATGGCTGGATAGCGCCTGCCCCTGTCCTACTCCCTGCCTCACTGTTAGGACCTTGATCTGTCCTCCCATGCCCCTTCCCCCCCCCCACTCCCGTCCAACAGACTTAACAGCAGGGAACTGCTCTCCAAGCTGCTGGGCTGCCTTTCTGGCTGTGTGCATGCATGCATACAGCTGTACATGGGCACATGGCATTTATTGGTGACATTATTGGCTACGCCGGCCAAAAAAAGCCAGTGGCTGATAATGTTAATTTTCCTTTTATTGGTGCTGATCTGATATATTGGTACACCTCTATATAATTTAATAAGACCAAAAGCTTAAAGGTCACAGTAAAAAGGAAATTTATTTTTCTTTGATTTCTGTAGTTCTGCACAAAGGAGCTTTCTTTTTTTTTGTCAATGGAAAATAAACTTTGCTTGAAAACAGTTTTGCAAGATCATTGGTGGAAAGCCTAAAATTCTTAGAACTCTTTGAAACTTGCTACGCACTTAAATATTCTTAATTAAGAGCAGACATATCGGTTTTTGGCAGGCAGCATTCTTTAAGAGCCTCACTATAGAATTTCCTCAGTATATGGTGAGCAGGGGAGCAAAGGAACTTTCAGCATAGTTTCCTGCAAAATGCTAAAACTTTGGAGATCTTAAAATCAATAAGCCTTAATTGAAATGTGCAAGTCTATAAAATGATCCAGTAAAGTTTGACCTGTTTGAGGTTTAGGCATTAACTGATTTAGCAAAACTGAGAAAAGTTAGGTTTCAGTAAGCAAAGGGTTGTTTCTTGTTGTTGTTATTAATCACTAGGCAGACACCAGCATTTGACAGCTGACATTACTTTTTCAGTGTATCAGTTCAGTTGGTCAGGAGGATTCTCTTACCTCTTTTCACACACTGCAAACAGAAATCCCTCTCATTAAATATGATTTTACTTCTTTAAAACACATGTCCTTCTTTCTGTAATTCCCTACTTGAGCTATATCGGAAAATCACATGTTAAATGATTTCATTATGAACATGGACTTGTCCAGATAAAATTTATCTGAACTTGGTAAGTTTTACTTTGTGGGCAAGCATGTTCCTGCTCTATCGCCATGATTCTTTACCAAAGCAACTTGGCGCACTTATGGCACAAGTGAGCAGATGGACACTTAAGTTTGGGTATTGGAGAGAGTAAACGTTTTAGTATGGATTCAGCTGTTAAAAGTTATCACCACCAAATTTTCCTTGGCTGATAGGATTCTTCAATAGCTGAGATCTTCTTAATAAGAAAAATATGCTACATTTTCTTCTTTATATTCCTTCTTTCCACCTTTGCTCCAAACATCTCCTGCTTGTTTCATTGTACAGAATTAGAGGGGATGATTTCTCAGCTGTATGGGATGGCCTGTTGTTCTCTTGTGTCAGAAAAAGTATGCTTCTTGTGGCTGAGAGAGGTTTTAAAAGTGATCTTGCACTTCTCCCCAAGGATATAGGTCTATATTGTTACTTTGCTTACAAGTGAAAGTGAAGCACAAATAGATGCTTGCTCAAGGGCATAGAGGAAGCTTGTAACCGAGCTAGAAATAGAACTGAGAACTCTGAGGTAGTAGTTATTATGCAGGTATGAAATGCTTGTGTCATGTCATTTTCAAAAGTAGCTCAAGTCTACGCTTTACTTCTGTAAATCAACATTACTTCTGCCTCCTCTTGTTCATCTAAGTGAGGTGTTTTTGTTTTTTAATTTTCAGATGTAATAAAAATGTGTCACTGAAATTTTGAATTGCTTGTCATGGTAGCACTATGGGATCTTTAGTCTGTAACCCAAAATACAATGCCCACCTCCTTATTTGCTGTGTGAGCTTGTTACTTAACAGCTGTCATCTTACTCAATTTGTAAGATAAAGCTAATCAGGACTGTCATCCCCAAAAGCTAAATAAACAAACATAAGATTTGCAAAAGACTAGTTCTTTGGCAGGTCTCCTGATCTCTGTTCCTTGAATGTGTGACAATGTAGCACACTTCCTTAAAATTGAGAGGCTATTTTGACTTCTGTTGAAGGAGCTCTCCTTCTCACGCTTGGCTGCCCCCAATTCAGTAAGTACACCTGCCCCAAATGTAATCCTTCCTTCTCTGATAACCTTGCTTAGTCCTGCTGTGTTGCCACCAAGCTTCATGTCAGTTCTGTCCAGTCTTGCCTCTGCTACCTTTGGGGTCCTTGACTGCTGTCAGGGGGTATGTGTTTGTGGGGGAATGGGGTGGCAGCTGTAGGGGTTTGCTAAGTGGGAGGGGAAAGAGAGCTGTGTCTGCTACTTGGGCTTCTTAACTTCAGAAGGTGGCGAAGTGGGACAGCCAGACAGTTGGAGGGTGGTTTTCCTAGACAGAGCTGTAATTCATAAGGGGCTGCGTCATCTTTATTGCTAAAAGGGCCCAGCCCCAGCTAAAATCCTGTCACCTGTGGAAAAAAAAGTTAGTTGGATGTTTTGGGATAGGAGTACTTCACCAGGGCCTGAGTATTAGCAGATATAGTTGCATAGTTTATAACTACTTAACAAACTCACCCCTGTATGTCTCAAAGTCTCAGTTGTAGAAGCATAGCTATGTGCCCCCGGCCGTTGCATGGCACCTGGGGCAGCGCCAGCTCCTGCCA